CTCAGCCTCAGAAGGAACCGACCCTACCGACACCTTGATCTCGAACTTGTGACCTCCAGACCGGGAGACAATACATTTCTGCTGTTTAAGCTGCCCCAGTCTGTGGTACTTGGTGACAGCAACTCTAGCAAACCAATACACATCTGTATTTACATCTCCACTGAAAGGAAAGGGCTGCATTTATATAGCATCAGGGTGGTCCCAGCAGAAAATGAGTTTGAGGAGCTCACAGCTCTGGCCGACATCTGTCACAGGGGAAAAAAGACATCCAAGAAAGAGGGTGGCACAAAGCCCATTCCAGGTCAGCAGGTGCCCACCTGATGAGCGGGGAGGGGCGCGAGAGTCCCCACTGTCTGGGCCACCTCCAAGGGCTGCCTCCTTGGCCTGTCCCCTCCACTTGGCCCCCACCGCTGCTACCAAGGGTACCGTTGATGCTTCCGGGTGTGCAAATGCAGGCTCGGGAGGAATCTGCACACACTTTCTACAAATCTTCTAAGACCCTGAGCCCCACCCCAGGCCCTAATTCTGCTCCTCAGGACCTGAACAAGGGACACTGAGGACAGTCTCTTGAATAAGCCATGCATGCTAGTTCACACATTCGACAGTGTCCCAAGCTCACAGCTATCCACCCCCTCCCCCACCGTGTATGTGTGTGGGAGGGGTGCTTAGAGAAGCCACAGTCTCAACTTTTCCACCTTTCAACCCTCACTGCTCATCAGATCATCTGGAAGCTTTAAAAACATGATACCTGGGTCCCATCCCTGACCAATTAGACACCAAGAGTGGGACCCAAACATCATTTGTTTTCTCAGGAGGTTTTGCTGGAGCCAGGGGCTATTATCCCTACCTGAAACGTGTTCCAACCAACCACAGCTGATGCTGTTAATTTTGTAGACATAATTGTATTGTGTCCTCTGGGTAAGGTGGGTTTCTCTTTTTCCTTTTTATTATTTTTAAATTATATCTGGTGGCAGGTTAGAAAGCACCTTCCCGAGGCTGTTTCCTGAAGTAGCTGAGCTGTTTACACAATCCTGCCCTGTCTGAGCAAGAGCATTTGCTTGTACCTACACCCCACATGGGACCAAGGGCAGAGCTGTGTGGGCATAGCCCTGGGTCTGCCTGTTTAACAAACTGCAAATCGGAGATGGGATGAGCTCTCCCTGGAGCCCCTGCTTCTGGGGATTTCAGACCCACACAAGACTGGCACAAAGTGGCCCGTTGGTGGGAAGATATGGATTCTCCATGGGGTGTGCACGTGTGTGTGCATGGGGGTGTGCACGTGTGAATGCACATGCAGTGTGCTGCATGTCATGGATGGGCTGTGTGCAAAGGTTGTGCGTGTGTGCATGTACGTGGAGTTGTGCACCTGTGTGCAAGCATGTCTTGTGTGTGTGTTCATGTGTGGGGTGTGCACAGGGTGTTTGTGCACCTGCATGTGTGCACACATACATGTGTGTGCATGTATGGTTGTGCACAGTGGCATGCTTGCATGTGCACACGTGTACATGCACATGGGTGTATGTTTGAAGTGGGAGAAATGGCAGCAGGGTATATTTCAGGTCTTTGTATTTTGCACCAGGGCCTCGCTTTCAGGGCTCCTGAGTACAGTGGCCCCCGTCTTCACTGCTCTGGCCCTGTGATGGGCAATGGTAGCCTCGCCGACCATAGGCCCGGTGCCAGGCCCAAGAAGCGGCCAGAAGGAAAGGCAGTACTTTGGGCAGGTAAGAATTCCAGGTGAAGGCTGCAAGAGAAAACACCCCAGCATGGACTGAGAGGCTGAACAACTGGGTTAAATTCCTGCCTATTAGGGAGATTTGTCAAATACCTGCTCTTTCATGGAAGGATGATTCTCTGAGCATGGTGCTAGACTGTTACAAATGCCAGGGACAGGCCTTCCCGTGCCCCGAGGGAGCAGTCAAGGAAGGATGTTCTCAGCAATCTGGCCCCGGAAGATGCTCAGTCAGAAGGGAAGTATCCAGCTAGCTGTTGTTTGGTAACCGTGAACTCATGTAGCCTTGAGAAAGAGTGAGGTGTTGGTGATGCTGATAGGAGGGGCTCCACTCACAGTGGACTGTGTGTGTGGGATGAGGGCTCTGGACAGCCTCCACCCCCAGGATTCTTCCCACTGCATCTTGGGGTCTCTGGAGACCCAGGGAACAAGGGCCCGTGACCCTTGCTTGCTGCTCTGCCTGAGGCAGGTCTGGCCTATGGCTACCCACAGCCACTGGCTGTGCCATCCACAGTTGTCCAAGACTTCTTTCGCTTCCCACACACCGCGTCCCTTTCCTCCCCCCTCCTTACTTTCCTGTAGGAAGCTTCGAGGCCAGGGAAAGGTGCCTCTTCATGATTTGCAAACATTAGCTGCCCCTGCAGCGTTCTGCTCCACAGACAGTGTTATGAGCTCTGTTTAGAGGGAACTGGGGGTGGGCCCGGTGAGGCAGGCACCAAGTGGGCACACTTGGCTCTGAAGTGGCCCACACGATGTGAACAGCTTTGTCTGACAACAAAATGCCATGGGGTGAAAGCCAGCGTGAGAGAAGAGCTGGTTCCCTCTAGCAGCACTGGGTAGCTAGTCTGCAGGTTCAGCACCCGATCTCAGGGACAGCTCCCAGCCCGGTTCCTTCCAGCTCAGATGACATTCAGCCAGATGGGGCTGAGGCGCTATTTCAACGTGGCACCTCCTCTTCCAGAACCAGCTGCCCCACCTAGGACTGGGCTTCCCAAATGCTTCCACAACCATGCAGCCCCTCATTAGTCCCTGTCCCCTTCTCCCCCTTCACATCCTTACATGTGCTACACTTTTCATCTTTACTAGGCCTACCAGAGATAAATGCATCAGCCTAAAAGAATGACACCAGCAGTGTGAATTTCAAGCCACGGAGATGAAAAGCAAATCACTAGGTCATTTAGTGGCCTCACAGCACAACCCAGACTCAGCCTCCTTCTCCCCCTACTCAATGCGGTTGGTCCTGGTACCCCCCTCTGATTGAGGTCACAAGAAGTTCTACCCAAGTGAATGGCAGACAGTTGACCTAAGATTGTTGATGGCTCTGTCCCCATCAGCACCCTCCTCTCTCCAACACTCCTGTGCTACAGAATACTAGCATTTGTGGCCAGGACGAAAATGCTGACCAAAAAAAGAGAGACATCTAGAACCAACAGACTATCAAGATGGCTGGCAGGCTCTGAACAGATTCACAATTTAGCTTGAAAACCACCTGAGTAAGTTAATGGGCTGATGAAGAAAGTCAATTTGTAGGACAACAACTCTGAGGCTTTCCTTAGTTATGCTCTGGGGCCATAGTAAGATCAATACCATCCAAATGCCAATGAAAAGGGGAAACAGACATTCATCAGACACAAAAATCCCTAACCCTAAAGAAAAGATGAAAAACTTAGGTTACATTAAAATTAAGGCCTTCGGTTAAAAAAAAAACCCATATAGAAATTACAAAGGCAATCCACAAATAAGATTTTTAAATACATGTAACTCATACATGATTTATACCCATAATACGTAAAGAACTCCTACAACTCCATAAGGAAATTATAAACAACCCAGCAGAAAAGTGAGCAAATGACACAAATGGGCATTTCACCAAGAGGAAAGGACAGGCAAATATATGACAGGATGCTGAGCCTCATTAGTTGTCAAGGAAACCAGAAGATGATATGATGCCACTTCGTGCCCTCAGTTAGGAAGTCTGATAAACACGAAGCGTGGGTGAGAATGTGGCCCCCAGGGCACATACACATTGTGGGGCTGAATGAGTGTAATCACTCAGGAAAACAGTGGGCATTATCCTGTACAGCTGAATTTTCACACACCCAAAGTCGCAGCCACCTCAGTTTATACCCAAGAGAAACTCTGACACAGGTACACCAGGTGACATGTACAAGAATGTCCGCCACAGTATTATCTAAAATAACTTGTAAAAGCAGGAAAAAACATCCACAGACGGGAATAGCGGGTAAATAATTATGGCACATTCACACAATGGGATATTATGCAGAAGAGAAAATGAATGAAAGAGAACTACATGCAACAACATGTATGAATCCTGGAAGCAGAATAAAGCAAGTGAGGATAGCAAGTCTCAGAGATGACATACTGTAGGTGCCGTTTTTACAAAGCTCAAAACCAACCCAAAATATAACTAAACCATATACCGTTTATGGATACATGAATATGTAAAAAAAACCACAACTGCTTTCTTTTTCAAAAAGCAAAGGAATGATAAACACAAAATCCAACTTATAGGTTTCCTCAGAGGGAGGCAGAGGTATGCGTGAGAGAGGGAGCCCCCAGGCAAACACGAGTCCTGGTGGGATTCTCATTCTTAAGTCAGATGGTGGAATCATGGGACCTCGCTCTATTCTCGTGCCTCATAACATGTGTCACAGATATTTTTGTATGTATCAAATAATAAACATTAATAAATAACATAAGAAAAGTCATATGCATTTCTACGTCCCACAGATGTAGTAGTTGAAAATAAACCTAACCATACTCGCTCACACACCCCCAATCTTATGCCCCGCTCATCACCAGCCTCCCACCTCCAACAGCATCACAGGGACCTTGGAAAGGCAAGCGCTGGGGAAGGCGTGGGCATCACCAGCCCACCTCACCGCTCTTCAGGTCTTACTGGCCTCCAGCCCCCAGAATAGGCCCAGGAAGGAGCCCAGTTCCAGAAGAGAAACACCAAGGCTGCTCCAAGACCACCAGGATGGCATGCAGAGGGGACCCCATCTGCATGGCATGACTCAGTTCCACTTATTTGTCAGCCCCTGAGCATAAACACGGGGCACCTGCTGGCCTGGAGATGGAGAACTCAACCGTGTGAACGGCACGATGCAAACACACTTCCTTGGTGCACCCCACACGTAACCAGGTGTCACCATGGAGGAAGAGGGGGGTGGATGGCACACTGAGCAGGTGGAGCAGGAGCTCTGGGGACTGGGTTCCCCTGCCTCCGCTCCCCTCCCCTGGCACTCACCTCTGCAGCTCCTTCAGGGACACAGTGACCCGCAGGCCGTGGCCCAGCACGTAGAGAGCAGCCAGGATGTCCGCCCACTGTACCATCTCCCCCAGAGGCCCGCCCTTCAGCACCCTCGGGCTGAACACATCCCCAGACTCCTCAGTCAGGAAGCCGATGTGGACGAGGATCTGGGGGGAGAACATAGAGGGTCAGCACAGAAGAACAACACCACTCGGCCCTGCCACCCCAGGGAGACCTGGCCAGCAGCAAACACTGTCCCCAGGCTGTGCCTGGGCAGTTGCTTTCTGGTACAGCGGGGGAACCAAGAGGCAGAGTGACGGAGCTGGGCAATGGGGATACAGGTGAACAAAAAACAGCCACGTCCTGCCCTCAAGGTGCTTACGTTCCAGATGGAAGAGGAGACAACAGTGAACACAGACAAGAGAGAATTTCATGAAATGATAGGGACTCTGAAAGAAACAGACAGGGTGATGTGCAAGTCAGGTAGGTGTTTATTAGATGGATGGATGGATGGATGGATGGATGGATGGATGGATGGATGGATGGAAGGATGGGTGGATGGATAAATGTGTAGACAAATGAATGGATGGATGTGTGGGTGGATGGATGTGTGGATGTGTGGAAGGATGGATGGATGGATGGATGGATGGATGGATGGATGGATGGATGGATGCGTGGATGGATGGATGGATGGACCAACAGACCTCCTCCAAACAGGCTACCTTATTCCCAACATTCTTGGCGAACACCATGACTTTTCTGCCAGACAAGAACAAGATTGTCTGCAGAATGCAGGACCTCTAAGGGGGCAGGAGGGCTTCTCATTCTGCCTCAGACCTGGAAAGAGGCACCACATGCATCTATCCTGACTGCCTTCACGCTCCCTTCTGGCTCAAATTCAAATAAACTCTATAAAACTTTTGCGGGCAGACCCAGTGCCCACTTGGAATCCTGAGGCCCTGAGCTCATTTCCTAAGCTCTGAGCTCAGCTCCCTGAATACACAGAGAGGGTAAGGTACCTGCTTCTGGTCCCTTTGGGTGCCCCCCAGCTTCTGCGCCAGGCGCTGGGCAGCCAGGGCCCACTGGGCAGTCAGCCGCTTGGTCCGTTTCTTCATGAAGATCAGAGACTCCTTCCCGCTGCCCATCAGCTCCAGGAGGTGGGACAGGTTGCTCCGGAAAACTGCCTGGAGGGATGTCCAGTCCTCAATTCTCTACCCCCGGACCTGTGGCTGTGCTACCGCCATCGCCTGCTGCCCTGAGGACACGGGCTGGCACCCTCCCAGTGAGGCTGCAGCCTGCTCCGGCTTTTCTCTCTCATTCTAAGAGGCCCACCGGACCCGTCAGTGGAGGCGCCCTGCTCTCCCTCCCCGGCCAAGTTGGTCTGTCCCAGCCCAGCTCTGACCAGTCTCCCAAACCCTCTGGGAGGTGGTCAGCTGTGGTAGTTCCCAGGGATCCCAGCTGCTACAAGGAGGCTGAGGGCAGTGGTCAGAGCAGGGGCTCAAATGGCAGGGAGGCTGGGCTGCCTGCTAGTAGAGCCAGAGTAACTGTATACCTTGAACAAGTTGGCTCAGCTCCCTGGACCTCTGATTCATCATCTGATAAATATAATTATATAAGGACTGCTGGCATGCAGGAAGCCCTCCAGAAGTGCCAGCTGTTATTACTATTATTCTAGTCCATGAAGCGGGTGCCTCCAGGGCCCCAGCCTGCCCCTCCAGCAGGCCCAGCTTTGCAGCATCCCGAGAAGGTAGGACGGGCACCACCAGGCTGGTTTCCTGTCCAGGACGGCCAGCTGGGACCTGCCCACCCACCAGGCAGAGCTGGCCAGCCTCATTGTACCAGGGGCAAAGTGTTCCTCCCACTGTCCCCCAGGGATGTCCAGCTTGGGGAGGCCAGCTGGCATGTGCACCAACCCCTCACTGGCCCACTCACCTTCCATGCCTACCTGGACTTTGGGGAGAGGTTTGGGGGCCATGTGGGTAGCCGTCTGGTTCCTCCAGGGCAGCGGGGGACAGAACCACTCGACCTCACTGAGGTAGATGAGGAAGGAGCATTCGGTGCCGTCCACCCCGAAGAAGGCGTAGCAGGGGTCAGAGGTCCAGCGGGCACGCATCCACTGCAGAGAGGCCAGCCTGGGCCAGGGAGCCAACACCAGCCCACCCGCAGCCTTGGTGCCCCCTGCAGGCATGTCCCTGGGGATCCCGAGCTTCCCAGGATGGGGCCCCTGGGGCCAACCCTAACGATGCAGCAAGGGACAGGAGCAGGGGACAAAGACTGAACCAGGGCCCCAGGACCCTGTCCTGGCCACTAAGAACCTCAGGGAAGGCCGGGCTGGACCACCATCTCCCAAGCCCAGAAAAAGGAGGACCCCAGGGAGATAAAGCCAAGTCAGGACACAGCGGCAGGGGCAGCACCTTGGGACCTGGCTGGGTTCAGCTGAGGCCAAGGTCAGGAGCAGCCTCGGAGGAGGCAAGGGCTGGGGCGAGGGCAGGACCCCCACTCAGTGATCCCCACAAGGTCACCAAGCAAGGGATCTGCAGTGCCATCGTCCCCCCCGCCCCCTTAGGGAATTCAGAACCAGCGAGGAGCTGGCTTTTACAGCTACGCACTGGCCCCTGGCTGCACAGCCTTCGTGCAACCATAGGTCCCAGGACGTGGGGTCCGAGGGGCTCCCTCAGTCCAGCTGGTTGGACCATGAGGAATGGAGAAAGGGAGACTGAGTCCACTTGTCTGAATCTCTTGAGAATCAGGCTGCTGGTGGTAGCACACATATGTTTAATTGTTTGCTATAAAAATGTACTGAAACATGGCTCCTTCTGGGGAATATGGGTTGGTGGGTCAGGCGGATGACAGAGAAGCCGTTTCCCTGAGGTTGGCCTCTGCCAGCTAGTGCCACAGTCGGGGGCTGGGAGGAAAGCCCTACCAGCAGCGGACCCCCAGAACTAGTCTGGGGCACAACTCCTGCAGAGGAGCCTCCTTGCTGGTCACGCCCACCCTCAGCCCCAGGCCTCACCTCCACCTTCCCTGAGCAGTCAGGGAACTTGGGGTCACTGGGCGCCTCACACTGGTCCCGCCGGCCTTCAGACACTGTAGGGAGAAAAGGTTATCTTGCTGAGAACCTGGGTCCGGGACGGAGCCCGGTAGAGACAGGTGAGAGGAGTGGGCTGGGCTGGGTGAGAGGGGTAGGGCGGGAGCGGGCATGGCCTTCTACCTGAGTTTACTCACCTGAAAGGCCACCTGTCAGGGGGTCCCCAAGCTGGGGCTGCCACCCTCTGCCACCAACCCCACTCTCCTTAGGAGGTTCAGACCCAGTAAGGAGCTTGCTTAAATGGCTATGGACCAGCTGCCTGGATGGGCAGACCTCATACACCCACCCAAATGCACCCCCACCTTTTTCAGAGGAGCAGAGGTTGGGCCTGCAGCCCCAGACTGCTGCTCCCCACATCAAGTTTCCAGAGACCTCTGCTGTCCTCAGCACCCTCACACCAGCTCTGGGTAGATGAACCCCCGTCACCCTGCTGAGAGTCTGAAACAGGGCCCGAGGAGCCTGGGCAGCTGCTATGGGAGAAGTCAGGGCCCCGCCCCGGACGTCCCCCCAGTACACTGGCCTCCTGGGGGGAGAGGGGTGCCCCCGGCCCCCACCCTTGCTGTGCAGGAGCAGGCTATGGCGCAGCAGCTGGTCCACCTTGACGGCAATGTCGGAGACGTTCTGAGCGATGGCCTGGATGCGCTCCATGAGCCCGGCCCCAGCGGGCAGCCTACGAGGGAGAAGCCAGGGCTTAGAGGAGAAGCCTGCCTGGGTGGCCTTCCCAGCAGGGCCTCAGCCAGCCAGCAAGACGACAGGACTGCAAGGCTCCCGGCACCCACATGCTGCCGCCCTGCAACGAATGGAAACACAGTGGCAGTGATGGATGGTGAAAGTCAGGCCAGGAAATGGAGCCATCTGCCCACCCCCAGCCTGGGCTGGAGGGGCTCTCTAACCATCCAATGCACACGCATTACACCATGTGCGAAAGCCCACATCTGCATGTGCCAGGAGTGTCTGCATGAGTGCCAAAGGGCAGGGCCTGGGGCTGAAGCAGGCCCAGAATTCCATTCGGGAGCCCGGACAGGATCAGCGAGGGACCTTCGGGTGGCAGAGGCCGTTTTCCTGGGCACGGCCAGCTGCCCTGAGTCTGTTTCTCTATTTCTTCCCAGAAGGGCTATATCATGCCAAAATAAATTCCACCCAAAGCAGCCCGGGGACTTGCCAACTATTAAATCTCGAGTAAATTATTGTTGGGTTCTGAGAATGAATTCTTCCCAAGATCTTAAATGTGTTTACTGCCACAAACATCACGGCCCTCCACCCCACCATCAATACTCGTGTTGCCTTTATTTGGAGAAAATTTATTTCCCTGTGCTGATTACTACTCAACTCCCAGAGAAGTTTATTAGACGTCACGCACAGTATTCATCTCATTGCAAGCACTCCTACTGAGATCCATCTCACTCTGCTGGCACACGGGTCTCAGTGCAAGGAGGACCCTGGGGGCTTCCTCCCGGAAGCTGCTTGCTGTTTTGAGTGTATTAATTCCGTTTCCTTTGATTCTTACCTCATCCCCTGGCTTTGCAGGCCCAGTTTAAGCTCTGTTTATCCTTTTACAAAGACTGGGTCTTGATGGCCGCACGTAATTGGAATGATATGAAGGAGGATTTTTTTCCCAACCCGGGATCTTCTCAGGTGTTTACCCCTCCCTTCAGGGCTGGTGACCTGCCCACCAGGGAAGGCACAGTAGTGACCCCCGGGGGCCACCTGCCCTCTCAGGCCACTCTCGGCTCCTACCTCCATTTTCTGTAAGGAGAAGAAGGGTGGGAGCCCCCTCCACAGAAAGAATGACTGATATGGGGGGCTGGCGGGGGCAAGGCAGACATGGAGGTGGGCGTGGGGACAAGAGAAAGAAGGTGACAGGAAGGGGCAACGTATACAATGGACACACAATCAGGCCAACCCACTCAAAAACAAACACCTTGAATGGAAAATGGCATCGCCTCTGTATTTGTTTCCTGGGGCTGCTGTCCCAAAATGACCACAAATTTGGTGGCTTGAAACAACATTGATTCTCTCACAGTTTTAGAGGCCAGACATCTGAGATCAAGGTGTCGGTGGGGCTGGTTCCTCCTGGCACCTCGGAGGGGGCATTTGCTCCCAGCCTCTCTCCCCGCCTCCAGTGGGCGCAGGCCGGCCTTGGCGGCGCTCCTTGGCTTGTGGCGGCATCACCCAACCTCAGCCTCTGTCGTCGCTTGGCTTCTCCGTGTGTCCAAATTTCCTCTTCTTCTAAGGACACTGGTCATTGGATCAGGGCTCACCCACGCCCAGCATGACCTCATCTTAATGTGATTACATCTGCAAAGACCCCGTTTTCAAATAAGAACACAGCCATAGGTACTGGGGGCAAGGATTTCAACATATCTTTTCAGAGGACAACGATTCAACCCTCCATGGCCTCCTATGAGATTACAAGTACGAATGAGAAGAGATTTAAAAGACGAATGCTTGTTTTGCTCAAAAGATCCTCAGGCAGAAAGAAGTAAAAATATTTCTCCTTGGTCTTCAGATTGTCAAGAATGCTGTCGGGAAGAGAACATCAGCTTGTCTTCAATTTATAGTAATACACAAGGATGAGCTGGAGCTCTGTCTCTTAGGAGCTGTGTGACCCTGGGAAAGTCACTTACCCTCTCTGTGCCTCAGCACCCTCCTCTTTTTTAAATGGAGATGATAATGGCCCTAACCTCATAGAGTCATTGTGAGGACAGACTGAGGAAAAATGTGGAGAACTCAGGTCAGCAACGCCCACGTGACATAAGCCCTGTGTCAACCAGCATGACCGCTACTGCCATGGTGTGGTGGACGCTGTGGCAAAAGGGATTTGGGCTGACCAGGGTTTCTCAACCTTCTTTCATTACCGGCTCCCTATGGAGCCTTTTGAGACATTTTTCCCTTCTCACCCAGCCGCTTGGAATGCCATCACCACTTCAGATGTTCTGCTTATCTGTTTACACAACATGGCCTGTGGAGGGCCACAGACCATCACAACATCTAAGATTGTCTTGCCCCTCAAGAGCCAGTTTTCACCCGTTTGTGTGGGGGGGGTACACTCCCATTGAGAATGCCTGGGTCAGACCAGAGAAGGAACGTGACGACCTTGACCTTGCTGGACTCTAAAACGAGTTCCGAACGAGGGTTGTGGCCCTGTTTCCCCATCAACCTATGGGGACAGGATGGACCCTCTTCTGACTGGAAGGAATATTTAGGTGACCGAAGGTGGCCCCAGTGCAGACGGCCGGAACCTCACAGATGCTGGGTCTGAGCTGGTACCTAGCACAGGTGGCCACGGCATGACAAAGAGGTGCTCTGGGGCGGGGAAGGACCAGGTGTCCTTCTTGACTTCTAACTGGAGACCCCAGGGCACAAATGACCCCTGTCGGGGACCAGCTGGGGGTCTTGCCAGGTCTCTGGAGACAGTGGAAGGAACCCCACCCCACCTCAAGCTTTCCTGGAGGTGCCTTTCCCTCGAGGTGCCTTTCCCTCGAGGTTCCACTCCTTCCACCCTGTGGGAGCTGGACCACTTCTCTGAGCCCCCGGCACCCCGGGGTGTGGATGTGAGTTGCAGGCTAGAAACCCCCAAAGGAGCCCAGAGTCATCAAGGACAAGGACGTGCTTTCATACGTGGAGCCTGACAATGCCCCGCACAGGCCATGTCCCCATGTCTCCATCACTATTTTGGATTAGATAGTGTCCCCCCAAATTTCCATCTACCTGGAACCTCAGAATGTGGCCTCACTCAGAAATAGGGTCTCTGCAGATGGAATTTGTTGAGGTCAGACTGGATTAGGTTGGCCCTGAGCTCAATGACTGGTGTTTTTGTAAGAAGGCCACATGAGGACACACAGGGAGATGACAGCCACGTGACGATGGGAGCAGAGAATGCAGTGATGCATCTACAAACCGAAAGCTGGAAGAAGTAGGAAGGACCCTCCCCGGGAGCCTTCGGAAGGAACGAGGCCCTGCAGACACCCTGATCTCAGACTTCCAGCCTCCAGAACGGAGAGAGAACACATTTCTGTTGTTGGAAGCCATCTGGTTTGTGGTCATTTTTTATAGCAGCCCCAGGACACGCATACAATCACCATCTGCAGAACTGAAGGAAAACGGTTTTTAATCCATCACAGAAAGAGTGTCCAGTTCTCCAGTCCCCCCTCCCCCATCCCTGCTGTCAGGAACTTCTTCTGTCCCACCTGTGCTCCTCTTGCTGAAGCCCAAGCTTAATTCTGCTGCTACTGTCACCCGAGATGAAGAACTGGGGACGCCCTTGACTTCTCAAGCCCGGGGTTAGTGACTCTCCACATTATTCAGAGACTTATTAGAAAGAGTCAGGGCCTCAGGATCCGAGGTCCTAGATTCCAGTCTTGACGCCACTGGAGAGCTGTGTGACCTTGGGCAAGTGACCTAACCTCTCTGAACTCAGCGGGTCGGCTCCAGTAAAATCTGAATAATCTCAACTACCTCACAGAGTGATTGCAAGGATTAGACACAAGGCTGACTGGAAAAAGCTCAGCATACAGTAGGCACTTGGTAAATGCTTGAAATGCTTTCACTCCCTACCCACAGAGGTCACCCTGGCCCCGAGAGGAAGTGTCCTAAGTCTAACTACAGAGCAAAGCACTTTACTTTTTGAGGGATTCAGCAATTTTCATATGACAAGCGTTTCTGCATAAAACATATCGCTAGCATGGGCTTTAAATAGTGCAGATGGCATCTGTCTGATTTAACAAGTTCAACTTGTTCGAAACGGAATTACTTGGCGTCACTATTATTACACTGGACTTAGCATGTGTGCAGCAGTTTCTATTTTCAACTCATATATGATTAGCCTTCCTTCTCTGAGAAGCATTTTTAAAAAATGACAATGAAAGCAGATGACACAAGATCCCAGACCTCAGACCACTGCTGACCTGGGAAATGTCTAAGTGGGAAAAAAGTGGGGGAGATGGCGGACAGCCGCCTCCGGCCCACGGGGCCCAAGGGAACTCAGAGTCGTAGTGCTGTCACCGTGGGGTCAGGGTGGCAGAAAGGTCACTTCTCCATCAGGCCCGGGAAGCGCAGTGCCAGGGCCCACAATGCTTTTCGGGGTCCACGATCAAGTTTTAATTCTTTAAAAGCCAGAGAAAACATTGTAGGCAAAGAAAATATTTTCTATGCAATAACTATAATTTGTCTCTCTACCAATGCAGTCATAAAATGCAATTTTGCTATTGTTTAAACTGTACCCCCCCTAAAATTTGTATGTTACAGTCCTAACCCCCAGTACCTCAAACCGTGACCTTATTGGAAAAAGGAAGGAAATATTTCTGGAATTACATTCAGATGTAATTAGTGGAGTTAATATGAGGTCATCCTGGAGGAGAATAGGCCTGATTCCAATGTGACTGGTCTCCTAACAAAAAGGGGAATTTGGACGCAGACACGCACACGGAAGACTGGAGTTATGCTGCCTGAGCCAAGAAACTGCCTGAAGCCAGGAGAGGGGCCTGGAACAGATCCTCCCAAGAGCCTTCAAAGAGAGTGTGGCCCTGCTAACACTCTGCAGACACCTTGATCTTAAACTTCTGGCCTCTAGAACTGTTGTTTAAGCTACTCAGTGTGTGGTACCTTGTCACGGCAGCCCTAGGAAACTAACACAACTTTTCATATTTTTTTCTGGAGGAAGGGCCCCTG